CGACCGCCGTACTCTGTGGTGTAGGCGAGTTGATCGGCTGGAGCGGTCGTCTGTGGTCGTCGTACAATGTCCTCAGCGATAATGCGTTCCTCATGCAGTAAGGTCGCAGTTCTGTCGACGGTGGAGTTTAATGCTCATGAGCGTATAGAATCACGACTACTATCATCTCGCCCACACCGTACGTTCCGTGCAATACGCAGCAGACGCTTTCGCCTGACCACGTCGTTACAGGCTGATCGCCGCTAACTTCATTATCCTCGGAAGAATCATCTTGAGGCTAGGCCAGGGATATAGCCGGATCAGCCAGTGGTGGTGTACGTGCCCATCTCTACTCATACAGCCTCTACTCGTGCTGACGAGCAACGCCAGACACGCGCATCTTCCTCACCTGCGACTGCATAGCCCTCACCATCCAAGGCGTCGGAGGCGGTATCGCTTCCAGCGCGAACGACGAAGCCGGTGCAAACGTCGTACGTCTCCAGCCCCTCCCTCTTCCCTCTCAACCCTCGCTTATTCGTCTGTAAAGGGCGGCAACATCATGCTAGCCGGCATCGTCTTCCAGCTCGTTTGCATCGTCCTCTACGCCGCTCTCGCCGCAGAGTTCTTGTGGCACTACGTCCGCGACATCCCGTTCCGCCGCGCTTTCGTGTACGAGCAGAGGTCAAAGACGCCGCGCCGGTTGAAGATCATGCTCGTCGGCATGGCTGTCATGACTATCTGTCTCTTCATCCGCTCCGTATATCGTACGGCGGAGTTGTCTGATGGCTGGAACGGGACTATCATCACTACCGAGTGGCCCTTCGGTACGTCGTCTTCCATGACAGGCCCGAATCGGGGCTAACGTGAGAGCAGACCTCTTCGACGGCGCAATGGTCACAATCGCCATGTTCTCGCTCAACATCGTTCACCCGGGCTTCTTCCTCGTGCCCGAGGAGACGCCCTCCAACATCGCGTACACTTCCGACTCTAGAACAAGCTCATCATCTGGCGCGCCGATTGTAGAAAAGAAGGGAGACACTTCTGTGTAAGGACTCGTACAAAATGTATGAATATGGACTGCTTTTATGTAAGACTGAATTTACGGACATCTCGGACCTTGCAAGAAATGTATAATAAAACCGTAATTATACCTCCAATCGTAAACTTTGTGAGAGCAGTAACGAGTACAGCCCTATGAGAGATGTCCTTGAGCGCGCTCTGTTCGATATTATACCGTCCTGCGTCCATTGCAGTAAGTGCTTGAGGTGAACGCTGCGTTGAACGGCCAGCTCGCGCGTGGAAAGCGTGATGGCGGCCGGCACACGGGACCGAATGCCGGACTCCGGCGGCGCGCTGCCTCCTGCTGCCTCGAGGCTCGCAGTTCCTGCTTCCGAATGTGATGTTGGAAACCGCTGAATGAATAACCTTTGCTCCTCTTCCTCCGCATAGCCTCGTGTGCTTTTTCGTACTTCTGCTCCTGGAGACATGCCCGCTCCTTGAGCGAAGATGGCGACTTGCCAGCTCTGGAGAAGCAACACTGACGAGGCTGTGCTGGCGCTCGCGATAAGCCAGCGGAAGTCCGAGCGACACCCAACCGGCGACTGACTCTGTCCTGTCATCTTGCGCGGTCACTCAGCGGTCCTCCGCCCAATGTCGCTGTGAGCGTCTTGTGTCTTCATCGCCTTCCATTCAGTATTGACACCCATTGTACCCAGAACATTGCATAGCAACAGAACGTCCCAATGCAGCCATTGTCGTCTTGTTCGCTATGGAACTTGCGGCAGCGACATCTGGTACTATACGGGCTCAACATACTATACGGGCTCAACATGGTACTGAGCGAGCTGTATTGTTCTGGTCGGTGCTGCTCGAGCGTACGATAAACAGCAACTCACGCACATCTTTCACGGCCAAGAACTGCCGTGAATGAAAGTCGCATGAATCGATCATTTAGGGCAGGATGTCTACTTTCTGCTAGGCGCAGCACTGAACTGCATCGCCGCGCCTCATGCGAAGCTTTTTGGCAACGCGCCTATAAGTACCAACTTCAGAGGGTTGTCAGACCTCATCATCTACGATTCTCTCCTTTCTCTGGTTTCATCTCTTCCCTTGACCTATCTATCTTTGCTTTCCTTCTTTGTGTTTAGCTAGTATGCCGAACCCATACAGTAAGCCTTGACATAGTAGCCTTTCCTGTCATCCCAGCTCACTCTCTTGCCAGACATCACCGATATCAACAACTTGCCACCTGGTGTGACCATCGACGACGTATCGCCCTATGGCTACGTTCCTACACAGGGCGTCTCTATCCTATTCCTTATTCTTTTTGGCGCTAGTACAGGTATGTCTCTGAGTACCCTCGCAAAGGCAGCTCGCTCATTCGCGACAGCGATGCATCTGGCGCAGGCGATCTACTTCAAACTGTGGTTCCTACTCCCGACCGTAGTTCTTTGCGGCTTGGGCGAGCTGACGGGCTGGAGCGGCCGGCTGTGGTCATCGTACAACATTCTAAATGGCAACGCCTTTCTCATGCAGTACGTCTGGAGCACCATTAGCTCTGAGCCTTCATCTGACAGTACGTGCAGGATCACGACTACTATCATCTCGCCGACACCGTGAGCAATACTTGTCATGAGGACTTGAGGCCGTAGCTGACCTCCCCCAGCTTGATTGCTGCGAACTTCATCATGCTTGGAAGGATCATCCTACGGCTCGGCGAAGGCTACAGTCGTCTGAGCCAGCGTTGGTGTCAGTGGCTTCGTATCCTGTCCTTAACCGCAGGCGCCTGACTTTCCTACGCAGATACCCGTGTCTTCTTGACCTGCGATATCGTTGCTCTTGTCATCCAAGGCGCAGGAGGCGGCATCGCGTCTAGCGCTCATACTCATTCTGGCTCAGAACTCGTGCGTCTCTTCTGTACTCCACTATGGACGCTTGGCTGACCACACGCTCTAGGGTTCCAACATCATGCTGGCTGGCATCATCTTCCAGCTCATCTGCATCGTGATCTATACCGCTCTCGCGGCAGAGTTTCTTTGGCACTATGGCAAGGACATGCCCTTCCGCCGCGCGTTCGTACACATGCACCGCTCCAAGACTGCCCGCCGCTTGAAGATCATGCTGTTCGGCATGTGCATCATGACCGTGCTCCTCTTCATCCGCTCTGTCTACCGTACTGCCGAGCTCGCAGGCGGCTGGCACGGAACGATCATCACCACTGAGTGGCTTTTCGGTGCGTACGTCTCAGTTTAGTGCTGATACAGCTCTCTGACACGAACTGCTAGACGTATTCGATGGGGCCATGGTCGTGGGTGCCATGCTCACGCTGAACGTCATTCATCCCGGTTTCTTCCTTGTACCCGAGGAGATCCCCGCCGAGGCTGCGACTTACAAGATGGACCCAAAGACGAGCTCAGTCTCTGCCGAGAACATGCTGGAGTACCAGGATAGTACTGGTGCCGTATGAGGTTGCGGTACCCCCACTCCTACGGAGATCCACCCTCCATTGCCTCTTTGTTGACTTCTTACATTGTGTTTCTCCTTTCTGTACTTCCGGTTCATGGACTTCTTTCCAAGTATTCCCGTCGCTGCACTTCGCTCTCTCGTTTTGCACCCACCCTTATATACTTCTTGCGCGACGGACATTGTGGACCGCGGTTGGTGGATATCGGAGTCCGAGGAGCGCCCATTGGAGCCCGCCTCAAGCTATGAGTGCGGTCTTCGTTCAAGGTGAAAGTATAAGGTGTATTGGAATAGAACTGAAAACATGAATGAAGTATGAGATTGGTGGGCGTAAATGAATGTGTAGAATAACTATTGAAGTCCGTGTGTACGAGGGCTCACGCATCCTCTGAGATTGCGGCTAGTGGGCTGCAAGATCCAGATGAAGCGATGCCCAGCAGTCTAGTAAGGGTCGACGAGCGAAGCCTGGATCAGCGCCTGCATGCCCTCCACGCGGAAAGTATCGTTGGTCAGGCTCTGGGTAACGCTTCCATTCGAGAAAGTGAAGAGCGCGGGAAAGTCGGGGGTGTAGACCGGCCAGTTGATAAGCGTCTTTCCGTTCGGATCAAGGTTCGTCGCGAAGTTGATGAGCGCGTCTGTGAAGTCGGTGGCCGCGTAGATGTCTGAAACATCGCTGGTGTGGTACTACAGCCAGTATGTCAGTCCGTGCAAAAGTGGACAGAGGAGTGGACTCACGGCTCCAAGTACAGGGGAAGCCTTCGACTTCTTGTGCACTATGTATGAATTGGCACGTCAGGTTGGATCACACAGTAATCTGATCAAGTGAAGCCACGCACAGAAGGCGTACGCGTTGGCACTTCCCGGACGTTCGGCCAACAAGAACCTGCGCGGCGCTTGGAAGAGAACGTCACCAAGGATGGCGGCAATCCTCTTATTCTCCGGCGTGAGAGTGTTGTTGGATCCCGTGTCGAACGGTGAGCCAAGAGAGGGATCCTGGGGGTAGCCGGCAAATATATCGTCCAAGAGAGAAGTGTTCGCGGTCGGGAAGAAGTATTGTTGGAGATACTGACGGACCTCATCATCGGTTCTATGCAGACAGCGATTATTCAGCGCCGCAGATCTTAGTATATGCACAGAGACGCACGTTATATTGCTGTTGCTCAGCGCGAAGAGAGTGCCTTCATCATCGACATCCCCTATCACAGAATCTCAGCGTCTATGCAGCGCAGACATGAGTGCAGTGACTAACCAATCACAAACGGAACATCTGCCCACGAGCCATTGAGCACGAGTCGTTGAGGAGTGTCAGTGAGGAACACGCCATCCGCCCGCGGCTTCCAAGCCAGAGACAAGGTCGAGTAGCCAAATAGATTGCGCGACTGTTGCAGTGCAGAGCGAATGTCGAGAATGGATGCATTGCGTAGACAGTCGAAGACAGCGACTGATCCCAGCGAGTTTCCACATCCTGTGCTGGTCGCGAAGTCGTCAAAGAACGGCTGGCCTATGCAATATAAGTATCATGAACTTTGACATCAAGAGCGGCAGCATACTGTCTTCCACGTAGCCCGTACTCCAGACGCCTCCCGACTGCATGAACGCGGCGCGGAAAAGGCCCTCGTTGTCGCCATTGTTGGTCGTCATATGCATGCCGATGGAGATGGCGCCCGCGCTCTCACCCCAACTGAGCGTCGGTTCAATCAGATGCTATGCAGAAGAAGGCGCGATGCACATACATAGTGACCTTCGACGGATCGCCACCAAATGCGGAGATATACTGCTGCACCCAGCGTAAAGCCAGACGTTCTGAAGGCAAATTGATCAGCGACTTCCTCAGAACAAGCGGAGAATGCCACGTACGGTCCTGTAATGCAAGGTTGCCGATACCTGCCTCGCGTACCTCGGCACTACCGGCGAATCCGAGAGCTGCAGAGAAGGTTCGGTGAGAGATGTGCCTTGTGAGGGATGATACGTGAGCATACCGGACAACCTAGCAAAGTCGAGGTGAGTAGGATATAGTGTTGAAACAAACTACGTAGGTACGCGCCTGTAGTTCACCGAGACGTAGACCACGGGCTCTTCAAGCTCCAGGCTTCTCTCAATAATAGCAGATCCGTTGTAAGAATCGGTTCCACCGGACTGAAAACCGCCTGATTGCTTCGTCAGCGGTACAGTTGCGATATGATGCATGCGTTCACGAACCGCCAAAAATCCACTGCGATGGTACACGTCAGCCATGATGTCCATGGGCTCAAACGCGTACAAGGAACTCACGAAGACTACAGGAAGCCTAGACTCAGAAGTCACATTCGCAGGTGCAAAGACGTTAACGGTGAGGCCTATCGAAGCATGAGAAACGTGTGCATCTTGCCTGCAGATTCTCCTCACAGTCTTCGTCATCGATGGCAGGCGAGGTCAAGCTGCCGAGGAGGCCTGTCAGAACACCCGCTGCCGTGGGGTTGAGGTCGGATGTCGCGCTATCGTTGAACGGCTGCTGAATGCAAGCAGGGCCAAACGCCGTGGCATTGAACGTTCCGTTGTAAGGGTCGTTGGCGATGGGAAGTCGGAAGCGCAAATCGCCCACACTGATTGGTTTTCCATGAGCGAAGTCATGAAGGCATGAACAAGACCTCACTTACGGGGGCTGAGCGTACGGTATGCCGCGGTAGATGGACACGGCGCCTTGGGATACCCCGACAAAGTGACCATTGTCGAGCACGACCCGAGGAGATTGAGACGTGCTGTATGCAGAACTGGCGCACACCGATGGTGCGAATGGGAGGAGAGCAGCGAGAGCAGCGAAAGAGAGGCCTGGCATCGCTGCGATAGGAAGATGAAGACTCAGTGTCAGCAACTCCTATACTCGCTTTATAGGTAACATAGAATCGAACGATGTAACGCCACCGCGCAGTGGCCACGGGCAAGGATGCGCATCTGACGTGCTAGAGATTAGCAGATTATACGGGCAGTGCACATCATGGAAGGGCGGCCCCATACGACGAGCAGCGCTCATTTCAGATTTCGGAAGATACGCGCCGTGTGCGCAGTGCACAGGTTCTGAGAACAAGCAGTTTCATTCATCGTCTCATTATTCGAGTGGATGGAGACGTACGATAGTCACTCTGCGACTTGTGGAGAGTTGGGTGGATGCCGAGAGAATTGCCATCCGAGAACAGGGTCGCTGCGAGTTGAATTCATCAAACAAAAGCGGGCGCAAAGACGTCCCGGGACGCTCACGGACGCGTCCTTCGCCAGACGTCACTTAATGACAGGTGCTTTCGGTACAGAATGGTCCAAAGCGCGATTCGGCGCCGGCGCCTGAGGCGCCAATAACGGATTCCGTTATGGTAGCACATCAACGCGGCAAGCTCTCCTGTTTAAATAACTTGGACCCTGGGGAAAGACATCGGTTCTTCTCATCCTTCGCCGTTCGTTAAGTGCTCATGTGAAAGATTCTAAAAGTCGGAGTTCCTTGCCGTGTGCGTTTGTACTTGAAGACGTCGGCGTCGCAGTTCAGACGCTTGACTACGGCGTCAAGAATCGAGACGGACTGAGCAGGACGGCTCGGATCACGTCGCGAGAGAATCCCCAAGAGCGTTTGGCGGTAGTCATGGCCCAAAACGGGGTACATCGTGGAGTCAAGCTAGATGGAGGTACATGGCGCACTATGTACGTGTATTCGGCGGGGTAGCAGTGTGCTCTCGATGACATTCTAATCGCTCGTTTTACTCTCCGTGGCAGCGTGACTGCGCTTAACGCTACATTGACAGCTCAAACTCACTGCAGTGTATGCGTGAGCACTTCAGTTGCCGTTAGACTTCGAGAATACGCACCGTACTGGCTCGAGTTGGTATCCGGCTGAAAGCCTGCTAATCGGCGTCATGTACCGCCCAGTCTTTCATCCCGGAAGGCGATGGGGCATGCTCCAGCTTGTCCCACGGATTAGATTGGTCTCGGACGCGACCGAGCATCGTATAGTGCAGACATGAAGGCGTAATTGACTTTCGTGTTCAGGCCATGACGGTTGCGAACAAGGCGGTGAAGAAAGTCTTGCGGACGTGGTGAGCAAAAGCTGGTTGATCGGGCCGAGCTCCGATAGCCGCTGACCCCCGCGCGTCCTCGCGTTAACATTGGCTTCGGACCACCATGTGTGCATGGCCACATCTACCTGCCATTGACTACGGAGAGACACAAACCAGTCTCCGCAATAGATTCTCGATCCAAAGACAGATTCATACCTACGTCGTTCAGGATCGACCCCCGCATTCGGCCGTATCCACAATGGTAATCAACAACGAAGTTTATCATGATAGAGGGATCAATCTAGGTATGAAGGAACATCACGACAGCTATATACTCAATCATATCATGCGCATGATAACTAGAGAGGAAAGGCAAGCTCTGTGTCGAGGAGCGCTTGTATACCCTCGACGCGGAACGTGTCGTTGGTGAGCGACTGAGTGATATTCCCATCGCTGAGCGTAAAGAGCGTGGGCGAATCGACTGTGTACGCCGGCCAGTTGATCAGGGTCTTCCCATTGGGGTCCAGGTTGGTAGCGAAGTTGATGAGCACGTCCGTCAAGTCGCCCGGCCCGTACATGTTGAGGAGGTCGTCGCCGTGTTGCTGAATGGACAACTTCGTCAGATAGTCCGGTTAACAGAAAGAATATGGAGATGATCGTACAGAACCAAGATATGGGGTTGTCTTGTTCCTCTTATACGCTGGACTAGGTCAACAAGGTGTCGACAAACGGAATAGCATACCACTCACAGTAGGCGAATGTATCGGTTTTGCCTGAGCGTTCCGAGAGCATGAGTCGACGCGGGGCATGGAAGAGATAATCTCCCAGTATAGCAGCTATGCGCTTGAACTCCGGAGTGAGTGCGTTGTTCGACCCGGTATCGAAAGGTGATCCAGCCACAGGGTTGTCGGGATAAAATGAAAGAATATGGTCAATGGCGGTGTCGTTCGCCGTCGGAAAGTAGAACTCTTTCATATACTCGCGGAGCTCGTCACCGGTCCTATTGAAGAAGTCAGAACGTGAGCCAAAAGGAGGATTGGCCGACGTACGTGATGTTGCTATTGCTCAAAGCGAATATCGTTCCTTCGTCATCACAATTGCCTACGGTCCCAGTATCAGTCCTGCGATACAGGAGCACGACCTCCGTGCTTACCTGTCACAAACGGCACATTCGCTATCGATCCGTTGAGGATCAACTGTTGTGGAGTGGCGGTAAAGAAGACACCGTCTTCACGAGGCATCCACGGAAGCGAGAGGCTGGAGTATCCAAAGAGATTCTCGGCTGACTGGATGGCGGACCGAATGGCAGTGGTGGACACGTTGCGGAGACAGTCGAAGACAGCAACGGAGCCCAATGAGTCCCCACATCCTGCGTCCGTGGCAAACTTATCAAAGAACGGCTGACCTACGAGATGGTGAGAAGGACATTCACTTGCGAGATATCGTTCGCACGAACCGTGTTCAAGGGGCCCCGTATCTGCAAGCCCTCCGGATTCCATGAACGCACCACGGAACAGACCTTCGTCATTCCCGTTGTACGCCACCATCTGCATGGCCACTGACAAGGCGCCAGAGCTCTGACCCCAGCTGGGCAAACGGTCATCTACAAGTCCATTCATGAAGAGGAGCATCACACGTACATCGTGACTTTGCTGGGATCACCACCAAAGGAAGAAATGTACTTCTGTACCCAGTGCAATCCCAGGCGCTCTGAATAATAGTTATGAGATTGTCCGCTGTGTATCGAGCAACGCTCACGATCGAGTAATCCGAGATTGCCTATACCAGCCTCGCGCACTTCCGAACTTGCCGCAAAGCCCAACGCTACGGCCATCGTTAGAGATCATCTCCTGAAGCTTTGGCTGTTCCGTAACCCAATCACCTGACAATCTGGTTGCTGGTCAACATCTATCGCAATGTGACTGTGGACTGGGATTTACCTGAAGTTAACTGAGACATAGATGACGGGCTCCTCCAGTTGAATGGACCTCTCAACGATGACGGATCCGTTGTTCAAGACCGTTGAGCCGGCCTGGAATCCCCCTACATACAGCCTCAGTACAAGCAAACCCCGATACTTGTGTGTGCCAGCATACCACCGAACAGCCACTGCGATGCTCGTTAGTGAGAGTTGACAGGTACTGAGTAGGCGCGAAGGTACTCACGAACACGACGGGAAGGCGTGAATCCGCAGTCGCGTCCGCGGGAGTATGAACGTTGACAGTCAAGCCTGGAGACGAAGCTTCAATGGCGTTCAATCAGAGCTATACCGGCTTGAACGTACAATCTTCGCCATCCGTGCCGTTGACGGTGAGGGAGTTGATTTCGCCCTGCAGCAGCTCAATCGCCGTGGGATTCTGGTGTGATGCGTTGGCATCGCTATAGATCTGCTGTATACAGGAGTTCCCAAAGGTCGAGGCATCGTGTTCACCGCTGTAAGGGTCGTTTGCGACGGGGAGCCGAAAGCGCAGATCGCCCACGCTATGATGAAAGTTGGTTAGAAAGGCGTGCAACGATCCAAAGACGGTGACGTACGGCGGCTTTGCAAAGGGAATGCCTCTGAAGGCCGAGACAGACCCTTCAGTTACCCCCACAAACGTGCCGTTGTCGAGTAGGACGGTAGGAGTTGACAGGCCGCTCTTCGCGAGAGGCATGGCGGAGGAAGAATGGTACAAGCCACTCAAAGTCAGAGAAAGTAGCGTGCTGGAAGACACCATTGCTGAGGATTGCTGAGGGAAGGTGCGCTGAGCAGACTCGTCAGTAACCTCTTCACTTATATCGAACCAGCCATAGTCACTAGGGTTAAGGTCATAGACTCAACTCTCGACAAGCGGGCGTTTCATCAGGGTGTTTCATCGGTCAGCGCGCGCTGCAGACTCATACGAGTCATGAAGTGTATGGCTCACATGGGAATTCCCATGAGCATATTGACACTCTTGTGAACTAACGAAGACAGAAGCGAACGCTGAAAGAGTAAGGGATCAGAACGACGAATGTTGTCGTAGGACTATGGCAACGTACATCGTCGTCGTTCTTGGTTGTACCAAAGCTTGTCTGTCCCTGCCGTAGAACAATACTTGTACGGTCAACCAGACGGAGAAAAGTGCGAATCCTGCGGCAGATCGCTTCCGGAAGTCCGCGCATTTGGTTGACTTTCAGGTCTGCGCGCGGAAGCACATTCCGCGTTTGCCAACTCTATCCTCACAGCATCAAAAGTCTTCAAAGGCGATATGAGCGCCGTGATGGGGAAGCGAAGCGGAGGCGGTTCTAGGACAGTGAGGGTAGCTAGGCGACGCGTATGTCGCGTACTGTATGTAACGATACCATCAGAGCCGTCTCTACATCATTGCCACATGCAAGACCGTTGCGGAGTACCATGACTGGTGTAGTCGGTGCCGAAAGGCATAGAAGCATGAAGCACTCCACGTCCGTAGAGATGTGAGAAATGAGTAATATGGCTTGTTGAGCATCGCGTTAAGAGGTGAAGGTCGGGAGCAAGCCGGAAAGGGAGGATCGAAGACGCTGTAAGCTAGAGCCGGTGATCGGCCCGGGCAAGGCCTGGGCTCAGACTGCGACGGGCGGCGCTTGTAATAAACGGTATTCAAGTTGAGTCTACTCGCACTAAGTTCTTAGACCTTGGTGACTGCTTATGTATGTATGAGATCACTCCGCTAGGTAGAAATCTCACGACGTCATCATCAAAGTGTGCTAGATATGCCATTCTACGATGCGCAATGTCACTAGTACGGAGAAGCTAGAGACGCGTTAAGAAGCGCGAGCATGCCCTTTACGCGGTACGTGTCGTTCGTAAGCGACTGAGTGATATTTCCGTCACTGAGCGTCAAGAGCGCAGGAGAATCGACCGTATAGGCTGGCCAGTCAATCACTGTCTTCCCATTGGGGTCCAGATTGGTAGCGAAGTTGATGAGTACGTCCGTCAAGTCGTTTGGCGCGTAAATCCCGACGAGATCGTCGCCGTGAAGCTAGGCAAGCAAGTCTCGTCAGATCAAGCCTTTTCAAGCCAAGAGGTACATTGGCGTACTGTTCCAAGATATGGTGTAGACTTGTCCCTCTTATACACTATGGGAGGTGAATAAAGGCCGTGGGTGAATATCAGACTACGTACGATACGAGAAGGCACTAGAGTTCCCTGACCGCTCAGTGAGCAGAAGGCGGCGAGGGGCCTGGAAGAGATGGTCGCCCAGTATAGCAGATACGCGCTTGTACTCCGGAGTGAGGGAGTTGTTGAGCCCGGTATCGAAAGGCGAACCGAGCGCTGGATCATCAGGGTAACTGGAAAGGATGTCGTCGATGGCTGTGTAGTTCGCTGCTGGGAAGTAGAACTCTTTCAAGTACTCGCGAAGCTCGTCGCTCGTTCTACTGCAAGTTAGGGTTGAAGTTGACAAACCAACAATGGCAGACGTACGTGATGTTAGTGTTGCTCAGGGCGAATAGTGTACCTTCATCGTCACAATCACCTATGGTTCACACGTCAGTCTCGCAGAGCCTCTCTAAGACCACCTCTACTGTACCTGTAACGAATGGCACATCCACCACCGAACCATCGCGAACCAGCTGCTCGGGAGGGGCCGTCAAGAAGACGCCGTCCTCGCGAGGCTTCCATGGAAGCGAGACACTTGAATAGCCAAATAGGTTCTCCGACGCTTGTACGGCGAACCGGATGGCAGCAGTGGATGCATTGCGGAGACAATCGAATACGGCGACGGACCCCAAGGAATCTCCACAGCCCGCGTCGATAGCAAACTTGTCGAAGAACGGCTGGGCTGTGAGACAATAAGAAACGTATTCACCAAAGTGAAGTATGTTTCGCACGCACCGTCTTCGAGAGCTCCCGCAGGTGAAGATCCACCTGATTGCAAGAACGCGCCACGGAACAGGCCTTCGTCCCTCCCGTTGTATGCCAGCATGTGCGAGCCGACCGAGATAGCTCCAGCACTCTGGCCCCAACTGATGTGTGTGAGCTATCTGAACGGGTGTCGGACCCAGATTGTACGTACATGGTGACCTTCTTAGGGTCTCCGCCGAAAGAGGAGATGTACTTCTGCACCCAATGCATGCCCAAACGTTCTAGTGGGCCGATGAGGCTCGCAATCTGACAAGTAACGAAGGGATGACTCACGATCGTGCAATCCGAGGTTGCCGATACCCGCCTCGCGCACTTCCGAGCTGCCTGGGAAGCCCAACGCTACAAGCATGCCGTCAGAAATGAAGATATCTGGCATGATCATACGGCTTACCTGACAACCTAAAGAACGGTAAGGACCGGTCAGAACATGACTGGTGGAATAAACCCACCTGTAGTTGACCGAAACGTAAACAACGGGCTCGTCGAGTTCAATGGACCTTTCGACGATGATGGACCCATTATTGGCGGCCGAAGTGCCACCTTGAAACCCGCCTAAGCCGACTATATCAGCATCGCCGATATCTAGTGAGCAGCACGTACATACCACCATATATCCACTGTAAACCATGATCAATGAATGCGACGATTCAAGTGTGGGCGTGTGCTCACGTATACGACAGGAAGCTGAGGGTCCGCTGTCACATTTGCAGGAGTGTGCACGTTGATAGTCAGACCTAAGACGCAACGCATGAGCAATCTTGCATAAGACGAGGGCTGAATTGGGCGTACAATCTTCGCTGTCCGTAACATTCGGAGTGAAAGCGGCGAGTGTGCTTTGAAGAATCTCGACTGCGGTAGGGTTTTGATCGGAAGCATCAGTCACGTTGTAGACTTGCTGGATACAAGAGTCGCCATAAACTGAAGCATCGTATTCGCCACTGTACGGGTCGCTTGCGACGGGAAGGCGGAAGCGCAAATCGCCTATACTGTGTCATATGGTTATGGACCCGCATGTGATCATCCAACAGGATATAACGCACGGCGGTTGGGCGAAAGGGATCCCTCGGAAGGCCGAGACGTGCCCTTCGTACAGTCCTACGAACGTGCCATTGTCGAGTAGAACGGTAGGGTTCGCAGAGTCTTTGTTCTCGAGGGATGATGCTGAGGCAGCAGAGTATGCAGCACTCAAAGCAAGGAGAAGCAGTGAGGTACGATACTCCATGGCCAAAGAAGAATCTACTGAGCGTGCTCGTTAGCGATCACTGACTTAAATGTTCTCGGCGAGAGCGCTGACAGTTACCATTACAAAGGGCCCTGCCGCTCTGGTAGCCCGGTCTGTCCGGATATTGAGCATTCAATTGGCGGATGTGCCGCTCCTCTGAAGCTCGAGCAGGCTGCTCGCGGCGGGAGGGTGGGTCGTTAGTCAGCATGGCCCCACGCGAGTGATGGATGTTCTGGAGGTCATCGTCCGTGTGCGCAATATCTTGGGGGAAATGGTGGTTTGAAGACCAATGGGTTGTGCGAATCAGAACTCGTCAATACTAGAGAGGTGGTGTAGAGGATGAGACCACCCGATACGTATGCATCAGCCGATCCTGAAACGGCGGCGCCTGTGGCGACTCCGCAAATATTGGTTGTCGCACGGCGGGCCTGGTAAAATAGCCCGGTCGGCCTCGGAGCAGACTGCAGCCCATCTCGCACATTGGCCAAGTAAGGCAGCGGGCGGGCACTGCGGAGAGTCGCTACTCGCAGTCCAGTTACTCGCGATGACAGATCTTCAGGGCGGCACACGGGATATAACCCGTCTTGGAGGCTCTTGGAGGTTTCTGGTTGAGGATCTTGACAGAGAGCTTGGAAGATGACGCCAATACGTATACTTTAGATAGGCATCTTGTCCTCCATTATGGTCAATTTGGAGATGAATGGATGAGCTGGTGGTAGTTCGGAGCCGTAAGCGAGCAAGGCGCGAGTGCGACGCGTTCGGCGTCTCGGCTGCGTAACGCGTCTGTCACAACACTCCCTCCACGCGCGTGCTCTTCGCTGCCTACCGCCACCACGATAGAGTCAATACGTCTCAGAGTCCATCTGTCGAGATGGGCCTTGTGAGATTGACTGCGACATCCGTGTCCCGTCACTAATGTTTTCCCACTGTCTTCGCGAAGCGTGGCGCCGCTAAAGATGCCTTCGTTCTGACTGCACGCACATTACCGTCGAGATGCCGGCTGGACATGGCATCATCTCAAGCTGTGCTTCACAGTGTTTGGCGCGCGACATACTGAGGTTGAGTTGAGGTGCATTAGGTGGAAGGCCCAGGATAGAAGATGATCGCAGGTGCGCAGTTGTCATGTCTTCGATAACAGACCTCCGAACTCATGCATGTCAATGAAGCAGGAACCGAATGACTGGTATTACATAGAATGTATCAAACAAACGTGGTTTGTTCTCCCCCAAATCTACGTCTACATATCCTACTGCACCTTGGCGTCGTGCCTGAAGACTGAGACCACCAAGTATAGTCTGTTGACTACTACGGAATGGAAGAAATCCCGACCATAATGTGAATTCAGTACGGATCAGCGCGGAATGCCTCAGCGGGACCCCGCCTGCCCTCTGCCCGGGTATCATCCTCCGTGATCAATTCCGTGGTGTTGCCATCGTTCACTGTGAACAGCGCGGGCGAATCCACAGCGTACTCCGGCCAATCAATGGGTGTACTTAGGACCGTTGGGATCCAGAGTCGTCGCGAAGTTGATGAGCGCATCGGTGAGCGCGTACCTCCGTATACATCAGGCACCTCGCTACCATGGGCCTATAGCAACCCATTCAGTTGTTTTCCCAAGCGCGCAGTGAATAACCTCGCACCGATACAAGGACAGGGGTGTCCTTACTCTTTCTGTATACTGAGTCGCGCGCTGATCACCATTAACTGCGGGAGCGCCGGCGTAGCAGGGGAGCTTACGAAAGGCGAAGGCGCTGGCATTGCACGTATGCTCCGTCAACAAGAGACGACGAGGAACTTGAAAGATGACATCGCCTCGAACTGATGCGAACCGCTTGTACTGCGGCGTGATAGAGTTGTTCGTCTCAGTTCCGAAGGGCGAACCGAGCGTGGGGTCCTCGGGGTAACTCTGCAGGATACCGTCGAGGATCACCGTATCTGCCGCCGGGAAGAAGTGCTGTTGTTGGCGAGACTCTCCCACAGTTCTACATCAAGCTGATCAAATCCGTTTAGGCTCGGATGAAGGCTAATGTGCTCGTTATGTCGCCATCACTCAAGGCGAACAACGTTCCTTTGTCGTCGTCGTCACCTGCCACCCTCAAATCATCAAAACCACATACCCGGTATACGTTTCCGTCGACAAAGCACCCTCACCGACGACAAACGGCACGCCGACGATGGGCTGAGTAGCGATGAAAGGAGAAAAGCCTGGCTGGCGCCCTTGTAGATCATGGTGGGAGCTGAAACTTGAAACAGTCCAACACAATGCCAAGCACTGGGGTATGCCCTTGAATACGCGTGGTGCCGAGCGACTGGAGCAGCTGACAGCGTTGATGTGCATCGGAAGACTCATACTTCTCGCATAACGTAGCGGTCGGTATGGACTCAGTACTGTACAGCGCTCTATAGCTGCAGGAAATTGGCATCGAGCCTCAAGCGAGTGTTGCGAGGTAATACTTCAATGAACCGCCTTATAGTATGCAAATCGTCTCTTTCTGCTGCTGCCAAATCATAATCGCAAGGGAGAGCCATGCCAATAGGTACGAAGATGCAGTAGCGGACGAATGCAGCGTGAGAATGTGACTAGGAGTGGAGGTCAGCCACCCTGTGTGCAGTGTCCACCATGTGTGCAGTAGTATACCCTCCGCACAGCAGACGTAGTGATAAGGTCAGCCGGTCAGGAAAGGTGCACTCAAGTTACCAAGTATGGCAGGATGAGCGTCAAAATAATATATGTAGTGGTTTATATCTAGTTACATGGCCCGCCTAGCTCAATCGGATAGAGCGTCAGACTCTTACAGGGCGGGTTCAACTCAACTTTGAGATCATCTGAAGGCTGCGAGTTCGACCCTCGCGGTGGGCTACTGCTGTATTATTTTCCTTCCGACAGGGAGTCTTTTGTCGGAACTTTACGTTCTCGCGCGCTGCTAGCGTGGCAATCCGTTTCGGCAGTTTGCGACACACGACGCTTGGTGCACGTCTCTTCGTCGTTGACCACCAACATGATGCATAATATTTGACATGAGCAGATTTGTGACCGCGGTCGCCTCCGTTCTAGTAGACATGAGTTTCTTCACGGACGGCCTGGGGACAATGTACACCAAAGCTATTCCGTGCCAACCAGTGCGAGAGTGCTCCATCGAACTCCCGCGGTCTTTGACAAGATAGGACTTCCAAACAATCTCATTGCGGCGAGGATCTTATATCAAACGTGGATTGAAGGTGATTCTAACCCATGACATCTCGCATCTGTGTAAGCTAAGAGGAAACGTGACTCTCTAGATCAGACGACGGGAAAGCCCTCGCTCTTTGAGAACCGCGGGACCAGGTCTCCGCACGTATCCATATCGCAATGGACCGCCGCCTGATCGCTTCGGAGCGCGCGAAACCCTTGTTTAGCGACCAGTCTGCTGCGCAGTGACCGCGCAGCGTGGCTCGAATGGGATGCAGGGAGAGGGAGTTGGCCGTGCGGGTTTGTGCTGGAAGCTCACCCGCTTCGAGAAAATCTGAAAGACGTTTGACGGCCCGGCGGCCGAGGCACCCAGTACTCACGCCACACCTCGATTGCTGTCGGCCCTGTTGGAGACGGTCTTTGGGTGGCACCGTCGGTGCAGGAACCCAGGCGCGGCCGCTCTAGACGGAGAATACTTACACGAGTGACGATCAGCGTTCTGGTATCGATCGTGATCGAGTATGTGGGCGTTCGTGGACTCACGACGGACCTGCGAGCGCATGCTGACGATTGCGAGAGACGACTTGTCGCACCGGTTCTGCTCGTCCGAAACCGCGCCACCATCTCGTCCCGGGACATCCTGTGCGCATAGTTCAGCTGCCGGCAGTGATCTTTGCAGGCGCCGCTACCGGAGACTTCTCGCTAAGGATCTGCAGATACCCTGCTGATATTGGCGCTTATTCAGCCCGAGGTGCGCCCCCAGGGCCTGCCGCGCGCTTGCTGTAGGTCCGCCTCGGGCTTGCTATAGGTCCACCTCGGTCATCCCTCGTCCCTTGCGCGACATGATGCATGAGGTGCGACGGTCGCGGAGCCCTTGTTATGACCGGCCGATTGATGCTTCGTTTCAGCGCCCGTCTTGTTGAGTGCGAAAGTAAAGCAACCTCCACCACACGTCAACGCGTCAATCTTCTCCTTGTTATCGGCGGCTGTGCCACAGTGTCGTCGCTTCTCTTTACGTTGTGTCCTAGGTTCATTTCTCGAACAGATGCCATTCTCTTCAGATGACGCTTGTCCGGGTGCGCCAACAACGCGTGCCGCATTCCGGGCCTCGCACTGATCTCTTAACCTTAGTCCGTCTGGGGTTTATTTTTCACGGCGAATTGTTGCTGACGGCACCGTGGTAGCCTCTCGGTTACCCGCAGGTATATCAACCCTGCCGAAAGAGGATTTTGACTCCCGCCCTGCTCCAGCACAAGGAGCACGCTGTCTCATCTCCAGGCCCGTGCGCCTTGTCATCGTCAGGCTGAATCTTGCCGGCAGAAGAAAACCGCCCATTATTCGTCAGCCAGGACGCGTCGCACCCATTGTGGTGACTGGACAGGGCTGGAAACGTCCTGCGGATTATAAAACGTCAGGCGCCACGCACAGTTCAGCCTTTGTTCCATTCCTCGCCATACCCGTCCGCCACAGATGGCCCAACATGGCACTACGGATGTCTTCAGCTTATCGACGACACCCTATTTACCGCGTGGCAAAGCTTGCGCCAACTGCAGGTACGCCACAGACGCTCTGCCCGACCGCGTCTCCGCGTCTAATCTCATCATCTATAAATTAGGCTGCGCAAGAT